GGATGGGGAAAATCTTCAAAGGCGCATACCTTTTTCCAGAAAAAATATTTCGCCACGCGATGTATTGAAATGCATTTACAGTTATGTCGCGAAATGCTTTGAAATACATTTCGCGACGCTCATGCATTGAATTTCGAGGGCGCGGCAATGCATTTCAATACATATTTTCGCTACATGAATAACCCCATTTGTCTCTTGTCGTGAAATTCGGGAACTCGAGGTCCGCAAAGGGCGGGGTTTATCTGAATTGAACGAGAGATTTCTGAACTGTAAGAGATTTAGACAAAACCCCGCCCATTTGCAGCTTGCGCACGCGATTTCAGCAAAACTGTGCACGGTTTAGCGTTCTTGCCGATTCGTTTCTTGCGCTTTCGTTTCTTGCGGATTTCAATTCTTGCCGATTTTACGGTCTCCCTCAAAGTTCCGATTTTTTTTTCAATTTTTTGTTTTCCTTTCAAGTTTCATTCAAAACCTAATTTCCTTTTTTCAATGCATTCAAGCTATACGCGTAGACTACGCGGCGTAGTCTATCTTCTGACACATTTGCTCTCCGAACACTCTGATCTTCCTAATCTGTAGTTTGTAGTCTAATTGATAGTCTCTACTATCAGTGATCGCGATCCTTCTTATATACCTCCCATTCTTCTCATTTTTACATGTAGTTTTCGTTGTAGTCATTTCTCGATTGTCTGCGGCTCTCACATAATTTCTGTTCTCTCGTTAGGTGTATTTTTGTTGTCTTCTATCATTTTTCCATTGAATTCACCCAATTGTTCTCTTTTTTTTTAATTTTTAGCTAAAAAATGCTCTCCAATACTCGTCGAATTCTCCCCAATTTCCCTCTTCGTTCCCTCTCCACGTCATCTGTCCTCAAATCGACGGACATCTCCGTCAAAGAAGAACGTCCGTACGTCTACAATGTTCAGCTGAATCGTCCAGCCAAGCTCAATACATTTACAATGGATATGTGGAGGTTTTGATTTTATTGATTTTATTTATACAGAAAAATTCAGAAAAAAATTCAGAATTTTTTCATGATTTTTCACAAATTTTCAAACTTCAGAGAGTTCAAAAAAGCGATCGACGGGCTTGCTGACGATCCAAAGTGTCGATCGATCGTCGTCTCGGGAGAAGGAAAAGCTTTCTGTGCTGGAATTGACCTAGCCGCTGGAATGTCGAATATTATTCAAGTCATTCAAGACGATGCCATTGAAATCGGGCGGAAAGGACGGGTGGTGCGCAGATTTATCGGAGAGATTCAGGATTGTTTTACGGCGTTAGAAGTGGGATTTCGCCCTAAATTGTTGAAATAATTTTTTTTTTTTTTTTCAGAAATGCCCAAAACCAATCATCGCTGCTGTTCACTCGCACTGCTTGGGTGCTGGAATCGATTTGATTACGGCTTGTGATATTCGAATTGCTTCGCAAGACGCGAATTTTTCGATTCGGGTGAGTAAAGAACGTCAGAAGGTCCCACAACGACAACTACCGTAAATTAAAAATGTTTTTTTTTTCCGACTTTATTTTATCGATTTTCGTGCGTTTTCAGGCATTTTTTTCTGTAAAAATTCTAATTTTCCGACGTTTTGAGGGAAAAATTTTTGTCTGAATGTGAGAAAAAACGGTGGAGACAGAATATCTCGTTAATTTTTTCTTAAAGGCGCAAGTGCGCAAACTACCGTACTCTGAGCCTATTTCTCAATTTTTGACGTTTTTTACCGTTTTTTCGATGTAAATCATGAAAAAATGATGAAAAAACGACGAAAATCGTCGAAAATTTTAATAAAAATTGCAAAAAAATGTGTTTAATGGGTTGAGAACTACGGAAGGTCCCACAACGACAACTATTATGCTTGTCTGAGAAAAAAAAGGTTAGACACAGACACTTTTTCTCTGCCTCTCAACCTTTTTTTTCTCAGTTTTCAGGCCAATTTTTTCACTGTAAAATTCGAATTTTCCGACTTTTTTGCGTTAAAATAACAGAGAAATCGACGGAAATAATCAGTGAAAATATCCTGACAATTCAAATATAAAGTTGGAAAATTCAAATTTTATTAGCTGAAAACGCACAAAAATCGAGAAAAAAATCCGAAAAATAAAATTTTTTGGTTACGGTAGTTGTCGTTCTGGGACCTTCGTCTACGGCCACCGACGTTTCTTTTCCACAGCTCTACCATAATAGTTCAAACTAACAATTTTTCCAGGAAGTCGACATTGGCCTTGCTGCTGACATCGGAACCCTGAACCGTATCCAAAAAGTCGTTGGAAACGACAGTTGGACCCGCGAAATCGCTCTCACCGCCCGTGATTTTGGCGCCGACGAGGCTCACCGCTACGGTCTCATCTCGAGAATCTGCGATGACCGTAAAGCACTTCTCGAGAATTCCATCGATTTAGCCGCGCGAATCGCCGAGAAGAGTCCGATTGCTGTGCAAGGAACGAAGGAGACATTGAACTACGCGAGAGATCATACTACAGACGAATCATTGAATTTCATTAAGACGTGGAATATGAGTCAGTTGTTGTCGACGGATTTGATGAATAGTGCATTGGCGGCGATGAACAAGAAGAAGGCCACTTATGAGGATGTTTGAAGCTAAATACTGAATTATCGGTTTTTTTATTCATTTTTCGTGTATTATTGTAATTTTTCTGTAAAATAAAGAGCGCTTTCGTTTCGTTCTAGAAACCTGGCCTTGGTCTCTAAACCAAAGGATCTGGTCACTGAACAGAGCCGGTCACCGGCTTCTAAAATTAAAAATATTCCACGAATTCACCATGCGAATCGTTCTTCTGATCCTCTCCCTCTTCTGCCACGCCTCTGCGATTCGTTTTCTATTCGCCAGTGAGCTCTTCTGTGAATATGACGAAGACGTCTTCGAATTCAAAGTTGCTTACTTCAACGGAGACGAACAAATTTCAACGGAACGTCATCTGAACGCCAGGGGAAGCCTATTTTTCTTCCATGAAGGAGCCGCAGAATCTATCGAAAATCCGGAGAAAGTTCATGCTGTTATTGAGCATGATTGTAATGAAAATGGAGACAAGATGGAGGTTTCGTACTATTTTTCGGCAATTGATAGTGAGAAAGTGTGAGTTTTAGAGTTGGAAATTGCGAGAAAATCGTTGATTTTCCGGATTTATTTTCTCGTTTTTCACTAATTTTTGTCGATTTTTCAGTTTTTTCCCGCAAAAAAGTCGAAAAATTAAGAATAAAAGGGAAAAAAATTGACTGAAAACGCACGAAAATCGAGAAAAAAAAAACAAAAAACGAACTTATTTTTAGGTTACGGTAGTTATCGTTGTGAGACCTTTGCTTTTTAGCAAATTTATTGACGTTTTCAGCAAAATTTCGCTGATTTTTACTGATATACTTCAGTGTACAACGCATCGATTATAAATTGGAATTGGCGGATCAGCATGGAGAAATATACGAAAAAGATTCCGATTCCAACGAGGATCAGCAGTTTTTACATCTCTCAAAATGATGTTAGGATTCAGAATACTTGTGCTTAGAACTCATTTTGGCTAAATAAATTTTTAATAAATAATAAAGATATTTTTCTTCAAAAATTAAATTATTGACAATTTTTCCGATTTTACAGAAATCAGAAACTTTGGGAAAATCGAGGAAAAAAGACGCCCGAAAATAAAACAATTCTCAGGTTACGGTAGTTTTCGTTATGGGAAGTTTCGGCGATCAATTATGTGTAACTTACAGTATCTAGTTAGCAAGCTACTGTAGAATTAGAACTTCTACAGTAATCCTACATCCCATTATTTTCTGTCAAAGATGTATAAATTTGTTTATCTTTCCCTTCTTTTTTCCTTCCAGATTTCTCTGACTAACGACGAATGAGTCAGTACGGTTTCCGGCGTCTCCTGCTCTCTCACACTATTTCTTTGAAAGAGAGGGGGCGGAGCCTAATTGGAGATGTGATAAATCATAATTTGGCACTGTTTTCCGATTGCCAGTTTCCATTAGTTGGTACCGACTGGAAATGAACGATTTCGGTGAATTTTTTGATTTCGATGAGTTCGATTACGCAGGATTTGCTCAGGAACCAGAGAATGAAGGTAAGATTCTGGGGTTCAGGTTTTTTCAAATTCAGATTCAGAGCTTCAAAAACTTTCAAATGAGTATAAACACACCTAAAGGCGAGGAAACTACAGTAATCCTCAAAAAAGAAGCCTGCAAAACCATCAACTTTGAGCTCAATTATCTTGATTCCTGGGAGATTTATCAGAAAGTGCTCAACTGATGAAATATTGATAATTTTATGATGAACATTTTATTAGTTGACATATTTCTGATATTTTCGACAAGAACCGAGATAATTCACCTAAAAGTGGATGGTTCGGGTGGGCTTCCATTATAGGAAATACGTAATTTTTAGTTGAAAATGGTTAACTTTGGATGCCTACGAAAGTATTTCAGAATTTTTCGATTCGTCTGAAAATTCTACTAAACAACACTAAACTAAAAATAGAGCTTTAATTTTGTAGTTGACACCTTTTGTGCATAAATTCATCCAAATGAGATATACCGCTTGAAAATTCTAGGAGTCTGAAATAAATTAGAGTTTGGACACTTGTTAGGTTTCAAAGCGCAAATTTCAATTGGATGAATTCTACAAAAAAGTTGTCAACTACCAAATTGAAGCTCTATATTTGTTTAGTGTATTCGATAATTTTCAAACAAATCGAAAATTTCTGAAATACTTTTGTAGGCATCTCAAGTTGACCATTTTGAGCTGAAAATACCGTAAATGCTCTAGTGCATTTTGACCTCAATTATCTCGTTTCCTATAAGAGATATCAAGAATCGGCCAACTAATAAAATATTTATCATAATATCATCAACATTTTATTAGTCAACCACTTTTTGGTATATTTTACAGGAACCGAGATAATTGAGCTCAAAGTGGATGCTTAAAGGGGTCTTCTTTAGAGATGGTAGTCAAAATTGATACACTCTGGCCGGTACTGTAGAAAGCCTAAACTTTCAGAGAAGAATCTTTTGGATCCAACCCCCATCACCTATCCATCATTCGACGAAGAATGGAGTATGGACAGCTCCTACCAAAATCTCGATGTCCCTCACCATTCCCCACCACCATCTCCAACCCCTCGTGGTCAAATTCAAAGCAATGTTGTCCAGGAATCAAGCCTTGAGGACCTAGATCTTCAATTTAAAGGACACGTTCAGGAACCACTTCCTGCTTTTGAGGAACTAGATCGTCAATTTGAAGGAGACGTCCAAGTTCCGATTCTTGACTTTGAGGACTTTGATCCAGACCAAAATGATCTTGAATTACCCCAATTTGACTGGGTCGACGACTTCGTAGAACCAATATCTGGGGAGCAATTTCAACAAATTGCTAGAAGTCAAGGAAAACGAACTATCCAACGTCAAGAAATTGTCTTCTATGATGCTCAAGATGATCATCTTCTGGAGGACGATCTTCAGAATTCTGAGAAAGATGAGACTTCACAGATGGTGGACAATGGAGGACCGGGAGCCAGGATTCGTTATTCAAATGTCCATGGTCCGCCGGTTTACAATGGTCGGCCACCCTTTCGACTTCGGATTTATGGAGCGATGGCGGTGATCAACTCTCCCAGTCAACATATCACGGTGTCGGATGCAAAGAATTTCATACTGTAAGTGTGCATTTCACTTCGGTCGGCGGTCACCATTTCTCGACCGACCAAAATGAAATCCCTATTTTTCAGCCACCACTTCCCTTGGTTCCGAACCTCCTGTGAACATCTGAAGACCTCTCTGGCCACCATGCTAAAAACCGACGAACATTTCGTTTTCAAAGGCAATAATAATCACAACATCCGCCTTTACACCCTCAAAAAGCTAGAAATTCCAAGTCTGCTCAAACGAGAGAAGCTCTACATCGATCGAGATGATCCGAGGACACGAGATTTCTATGAGAGGATCTTCTCTGGAGACGTCGGACTGCCACGGGAGATGTTCTATAGATTCCTCGGGAACAAGAATCGGCTGGCTGGTCCGGAGAATTCGGCGCTCTTCTACCATCTGTTAGCACATAAGCTGGATCCTCGAATCTTCATCAACGCCTTCCGAGAGCATAAGTCTGTTCCTTCTGGCCAGGAACCGAAGTTCGATGAGGATTTGCTTCCAAATGGCGTTGAAGTCCAAAATTGGCCCTATTATGGTGTTGTCTTGCCGGTTGGAGCTGCTCCTCGTGTGATGTCTTCCGAAGATGTCAACGCCTTCTTCGAAAACATTGAGGCTTACTACGGTCTCCAGAAGCGAGGCCAAGAAATGGGGATTTTGAATTGGGAGACACCAATTCTTCACTAATTTTTCTTGTAACTAAAAAAATGTAAATGATAAAATTCACATACATACACCATTTTGAGACAATAAACTCCAAAAATGAACAACCGACCCATGTTGTTCATTTCACACGAAAAGAAAAAAAGAGGGGGGAAATCAAATAAGTTATACACACATCGTAATAGAGAGGGCTAGAAGGAGAAGAGCAGCTCAAAAAGAAAAAGAGGGGAAGGAAGCAATAAATAATTAAAATAATTAATTCTTTTCAAAACACAAATCAAGAAAGAATCCACTACGCTGATGGCGCAGCAATTGGTTGGCCGTCTCGTCGAGATCGCATTGCTGAGCTCAATTTGTCGCCAAGCGTCAGGCACATTCCTTGGCTCTTGGCTCGGATTCTGATGTGGCCAACGATCGGGGAGGCGTCGTCCATTGGGAGCGCTTTCTCGACGGAGACGTTGGCCAGGGCGTCTTCTCCGAAGATTGAGTGAGCGCAGAGATTGGCAGCAAGGAATCCGCATTCTCCTTCTGAAAATAGAATTTTTTAATTTAAAGATTCCGTAAACCTGTAATAGAAGGGCCCCCATACTGTCAAATCGAGGCAATTTTCCTTGGTTCTTATGTACGATGCCGTAAAACCTGTATTAGAAGGGCCTCTGAGAGGAGTTCGGAAAAATAAGAAAGGGCCCCCTTCAAAATGCGTTGTTAATGGTTAAAAATTGACCGGAAATTCCTCTTTTTACTAAAAAAAAGCTGTTTCAATTTTGATGAAATTGATACAGTTTCATGTAATTCGAACGACAATTCACCGGACTTTTCAATTATAAATTTCGGAAAAAAATAGCCCCTTAATTGAAGGGCCCTCCGGTGGTATCTTAGAACAATAGGGCCCTTTTAATACAGGCATAAAAACCATAAAATCAGACTTCTTAGATTTTTACTCACCTATAGCAGCATCTCCAGTCAACACCTTCATATTCGTCGACGTCGACAAATGATTCAGGAATTCCCTCAGATCTCTGATCGGCGTCATCACGTTCACCTTATTCTCCCACTCGAAATCACTCCACATCTGACGGAATTCGGTGTCTGTGACGTTTCCGGGCACAATATAATCCATAATATCAATCTTGATGTCTTGCAAATAAACACAGTTACGATCCGAAGTGGATCCACGAACGTCATAGGAGATGGTCGAGAATATGACACCGTTTTCAGTGGAAGCGACTTTCACGGTGGCCTGGAAATGAAGGTTTCAGACTTTGAAGAAAAATATAGTATCCTACCTTAATATTGGAGAAATCATTTGGTGCAAGGGTGACTGGGGTTGGCTTATCAACGAGTTTCAAATCTCCAACAGTGGCCAACTCAAGAGAAACGTTTTGAAGCGTATCAGAAGTTTGGTTGACAATCAGAACATCGAGTACAATATCATATTGGTTGACATTGACGTAGGCTTCAGCGTAGATTGGATCCGAGAATCCGGCGAGTTGGATAACCTTTCCAAGTTTCGAGCTAGAGAAATCGAACTTGGTATCTTTTGGAGCGGTTCCCAGAGCTTGAGAGAGCGACGAATCATACAAGTTCTCGCCTTGTTGGTTGTTCTTGGCGAGCAATTGAGTGAAATTGATAGTCTTATCGATATCAACAAAGTCCTTAGAACGAGCACTTCCCGAGTTGGTAAGCTTATCATTCGCATCGAGACGACTAATAGATTTGGAAGAAAGCATGAGCTCCAAACTCTTCTTACAAGCATCTCCATATTGCTCATCGAGTCCAGGGATTCCTTGAGCAATAATCTTGATCACAGCTCCCATTCTGTCCAGATCGTCTTCGTTTACTTGATGGGAAATGAGACCACTCTTGGCGAGATGAATGATGGAGGCGAGAATGAGCATGCATTCAGCACGGAAACGGTTAGAGCGCTCAGATCCTGCTCCATTGAGCTCGCTGAATTGTTGAGCGAGTTTGGTAAGGACGGTGGCCAGGGAGGCTCCGAGGAAGAATTCTCCGTTGAGGAGGAAGCGTCTGTAAATGAGGATACAAATTTTAGAAACTCCAAAAATTGGACATTACCTCAATGGTGGCTTCTCGTTCTTCTTGGAGACCACTGTGGTCGAGAGAGCAGTCTGTGTGGCGTATGTTCCATCAGCAGTGACTTTTGGTCCAGATGGAACCTTCTTCTGCTCAACTTCCTCTTGTTTTGGCTCATCTTGCTCAGCCAACTCGCTATCAACAATTGGAAGGTCTCCGAGAGAAGTCTTGATGAGTCGAAGAACTTCTAAAGATCCCTCAGCATCGCAGTAAGTGCCGAGAATCCAGAGAGCAGACATGAAGATGTTTGGAGATTGAATGAAAGGAATTCCCTCACGAAGAGATGCCAAAATAGCCGACTTGAGATTTGGCAACTTGTGAACGGCTTCACGAACGAATTGGATGACATATTGGGCAGCAGTCTCGTTGGTGTCCGAAAGGAATTCCATGAGAACTGGAACGATGCTAGAAGCCACATCTGGGAACTTGATAGTAGCGGTGTGAAGAGTTTTGACAAGGGCTTGACGGTATTTTCCGTTCTCATCGTTAGTCTCGGTCGCTGTTTTGTTAATCTCCTTCTTCAAGAACATCACCATATCTTCAACGTTTCTGCTGGAAACCAAGTCAAGAGCAAGATTAAGAGTCTTCTTGCGGACTTCGAGTCCTGGAGAAGTGAGAACGCGGAGAATATCCATAACAAGTCCTTGGAGAACCTTCTCGTTGCTCGAGGTGTTGCGAAGTTGGACGAGACGGTCCAAAACGATCAGCTTGACGTTGTTGTCGCTCTCCTTGACGATAAGCTCAATGTAGGCTGATGCGGCGGCTTTGACGGCCGCTGGAGCGTTGGTGAGAGTGACTAGGGTTCCAGCAGCTTCGTATCTGACAGCTGGAGATTGAGATTGAAGAAGGTTGTAGACACATCTGATGAAGCGAGCACATTCGTTCGGGTTGTTGTGGCAGACCTAGAAAGGCATGAGAATTTAAAAAACGATTTTTTTTAAATTACAAACCTTATAAATAAGCTCAACAATAACCAACTGCAATATATCTCCGAATGATCCAACTTGATCAATACATCCGGACAAATAATCAAGGGCTCTAGCCTGATCAACGTGGAGAAGCATCATGAAGGCGTTGCGCTTGCAAGACGCATCTTGCTCGGTTTCCAAATACTCGGTGACCAATTCTGGTGCGTCTGGGATCAGGAACTCGAAGTTTTCTGCAAAATTAATATTTGAATGAGAAAAAAAGATTTCTAAAGCTTTAAATGGGTCAAATCTTACTGTAGATGGTGAAAATTGCGCAGACGGCGTTACGACGAACATAGGAATGTCTGTGCTCCAAACAAGCTCTTATTGCTGGCATAAGAGGCTCGAGAAGCTCTGGCTCGCGAAGTTTACACAAAAATCTCAAGGTGGATCCACGAACGAACTCATTTGGATGTTGAAGGTCTTTTCTGTAGGCGTCGCAAACCAGAATCATCTCGTGGAGGAGCTTTCCATTAGAATCGGTTTTTGGAACGCATTCCCAGAAGATGAGAAGCGTCTTTTTGAGAGTGTGATCGTTGGATGGAAGGCAGAATCTGATAACATACATCAGCATGCTTTGTGACGTTTTCTCGCCGTTGAGAATCATGTAAATGAGCTTTTTCAAAGCTTCCGTACGTTCTTTGTCTCCTCCCTTCTCGAACTTCTCCTTGAGCTGCGCCTCTGATGGAAGTTCAGCGTCGCTGGGGACGTGAATCAATGTGTAACATGGTAGCTCACCGGAGCTCATGTTGGAGGCTGGAAAAATATTTAAATGACAATGAGCTAAAAAACGGGAGAGAAAAAGCAATTTATTCACGAAAAAAACGATTTACTTACAAGAAAAATGGGTCAAAAATAATATATTTTTGTTGTAAACATCTAATGTGTGTTTTCCTTTTTTTATGGATTTTTAGCAAAATTTATAGGTTCAAAGCCTAAATTTCATGAAAAATATAACTTTTGAATACTTTAATTTCAACATTTTGCTTTAAAAAATCTGAAATTTCTGCAAAATTTCAGGCAAAATCCACCAAAACTTGGTCAAAAAGATTGGAATCGCAGTGACGTGGTTCTCCCTCCCACCGTACCTCGCGACACACTTGCCGGCAAATCGCGGCGAGACCCGTCCACACTTTGAAATCTGGCATTTCAAGCAAAACGTCACAAAAAACAGCAATTTTTGCTCAATTTCAGATTTTTTTCTAATTTATTGACCTGATTTCAAATTAAATTATTTATTTGAAAAAATCGATAATTTCATCAGATGTCGTCAAAATACGACGACGATCGAGAACAAAAGCGTCGATCGGTGAAAGAAGGTGAATGGGCATGTGTTGATGCCAAATGTGCCAAAATCAACGATGATTCACGTCAGTTCTGTGATGACTGTGGCAAAGGTATGTCGTTTTTATCGAAAAATACAGAAAAAGGGTTTTCAGCCAAACCGCGTGCTAAAAGCAAGATGGGCAAGGAGTTGGGCAAGGAAATGGCCGATAAATCGAAAGGATTGTTTGCAGCGGAGGATTGGATCTGTTCAAAGTGAGTTTTTCAATTTTTTCGACCTTAAAATAAGAAAAAATCGTATTCAGGTGCGGTAACGTAAATTGGGCGCGTCGCAAAACGTGCAACGTCTGTAATGCACCGAAATTGGCAGATCTGGAGAGAAGAACGGGCTATGGAGGAGGTTATAACGATCGGCAAGATGTGGAATACATCAAACGGGACTATGATGAAGAATTCGACGAGTTTGGACGGAAGAAAAAGAAGAAGGGTGAGGTGTGTAGGTGTTTTTGTGGCTTTTTGGGGGTTTTTTAGCCCATTAATAAATGAAAAATGAGATTTTGCTATCAAACTTACTATAACTTCCCCCAAGTTTAAGTCAGACTACTCCAAAGAAGATGGCGAGGCATCCAGCGATGAGGAAGAGCAGAAAGAAGACGTGGAGGCTAAAAGAGATGAGGAAGAAGAAGAGGACGATGATGATGGGGATCTCGGAAACTATGATTTCGACTTCGATATGGATCCAGAATTGGTGGAAAAGGTGGAAGAAATCAAAAATGCTGAAAGTAATGCGAATGAATCGGCGGCATTTGAGGAGAGCGAGTAAGTAGGGAATATCGAGAGAAAAAAAGAAAAATATATAATTCTGAAATCTCGAGAATATTCCAAGAGGCCTAAATCTCGACTTTAAAGACTAAAAATGGTCGAAAATCCGCTGAAAACGGCTAAAATCATCTTGGAATTGGAATGAAAATTGACCTAAAAATGGCTGAAACTAGACCTACGACAACCTTAAAATGGTCTGAAATTGGGCCTAAAATATGATCTAAAAAAGATAACGGGATATTGACCTAAAGACAAGCCTAAAACGGTCTAAAACCCCCTGGAAAATTGGCTGAAAATAGCATGCAAAGAGGTCTGAAAAAAAGCTTCTAATTGGCCTGAAAAACGGCTTAAAATAATCTCAAATTGACTAATTCGCGCCAAAGACGCACCAGCCAGCTGATGAAAGCACCGGATGCGCGACAAACATATGGCTGGTAGCATAATTCACTCTTAAACAATTTCTTTTCCAGCTGCTCGTGTTCTTGCTCCGGTGGAGAATGTTCGTGTGTGGATAGTGAGGAAGAAAAGGAGAAGGAAAGAGAACGTCGGAAGGTTCACAAATCGTCAAGAGAACGAGACAGGGAGAGCTATAGGAAGAGAAGCTCGTCTCGCGACAGGAAACGGGATAGAAAAAGGAGCAGGAGCCGGGATCGTCATGATAGAAGAGATAGGAAGAAGTGAGTTTTACCTTGTAAGCTGGGTCTCCTTTGAAGATTATCAACAATTGTGGAAACTGATCATGTCGTGAAACGACTCAAGAACAGTGTTGTTCCAACGCATCGAAACCAATTCCAGACCTCTGGGGTTCATTTTAGGTATCTGTTACACTGGTTTTTGCTATTGGGATCTTTGGAAATTTGGCACAATTTATTGAGAATGATGGAGCCAAAGTATCATACGGATCTGATTTTCGAATGGTCACATCTGCGCCAACACTGATTTTCCTCTACGTCGTCATCGTTCCACTTCTCCTTTACGGACTTCTCTGGAATCGTCGTTCGGAGCTTCTTGATCCATATGAGGATGTTGTGTGCTTGCATGGATACTCGTTGTCGATTTTTATCCCTGCTAGTATATATTATTTGAACAGATAATTCGAAATTTCAAAAAAACTGTTAACTCCTTTCTTAATCTTTGCCTTTTTCCAGATCGCGATCTCGTTCACGCGATCGCCGACGAAGCCGCTCTCCTCCACGTGGCGAGAGACGTCGTGACGATGAGAGACGCAGAGAGAAGGATCGTAGAAGAAGCAGATCAAGGGATAGATTTCGGCGATGACTCCTCTTCTTCCTTCTCTAACTAGTCGTTTACCCACTTCTTTGTTATTTTATTTATTATTTTCTATATTTTTATATTTGTTTAAAAAACTGCCCCGTTCCTCCTGGTTTTTAACTCATTTCCCCGATTTTCTCTCTTAAATCTCATTTTTTGTTTGACTACGGTTTTTTTTCTACTTATTTTACAATATCAAAATCTGTGTTATAAGAATTCATTGTTCGTTTTTTATGTTTTTTTTTGAAGCGGTTTATTGACACCGATGACCTATTTTAATTCTTATTTTCTTCAATTTTCTGAAAACTCATTTCCAGCAAAAATTTTTTAAAAGTTGACATAGACAATACAACACCTCCGCCACGTTACCAAGATGGATTTGAATTTTCAAAGTGAGTGTTTTTTTTTCTCTAGAATTTTATTAAATTTTCCAAAAATAATGGAACAACAGCGTTGGGCAGATATTGATCTTGGTCCCGGAATATTCAATTTTTGAATAATAGAGGTTTTTTGCAGACTTTGAAAATGTGAACTCGACGAACGAGCAATCAGGAGCGTTTGGAGGGAATATTGGTGATCGGAATAATGTAAGTTAGAGACTAAAGTTTTGGGGTCATTGGGGTAAAAAATATCTGAAAAAAAAATCGAGTTTTGTACCCCCTTGTACCCCAGAAAAGACCTAAAAATAGCAAAAAATTCAGCTCGTCGGCTCCGGCGCCTCCTCATCCACACCATCAGCCGGCGTCTTCGACGACACCCAATCAGGAACGTCGACAAGAAAAGGAAACCTGTTCTCCTTCGAATATTATCAACAATTCTTCGATGTGGAAACTGATCAAGTCGTAAAACGACTCATGAACAGTGTTGTGCCAACACATCGAAACTATATTCAAGACTTCCTTCAGCCGATTCCAGACCTCTGGGGTCCATTTTGGGTATCTGTTACACTGGTTTTTGCTATTGGAATTTTTGGAAATCTGGCACAATTCATTGAGAATGACGGAGCCAAAGGATCGTATGGATCTGATTTTCGAATGGTGACTTCTGCGTCCACACTGATTTTCCTCTACGTCGTTATTGTGCCTCTTCTCCTCTACGGACTTCTTTGGAATCGTCGTTCGGAGCTTCTTCATCCATACGTGGATCTTGTGTGCTTGTATGGATACTCGTTGTCGATTTTTATTCCGGTTACTGTAAGTTGTAGAGATGAGCAATCTAGATAAAACTGTGCTTTTAGTTCTTGTGGATTGTGGACATTGGTTGGTTCCGCTGGGCCCTCATCTTCGTCTCCGTTGGTCTTTCTGGAACCGTATTGGCGAGAGCTATCTGGCCAGCTGTACAAAATGATGTTAATAAAATGGTAATTTTTTTATCTTTATATTATTCTGGCACGAGAAATCGAAGCTGTGACACCTACCATAACCTAAAAATATGTGTGTATTTTCTCGGTTTTTTGCCGGTTTTTCTGTTATTCTCCTCCAGAAAAGCTGCAAAAAAATCCACGAAAATCGAGAGGTTACTGTAGTTTTCATTGTTTTGGGACCAAAAAATAAGCTATTATATCTGCAGGTCGCGTTCGGAACCATCGCCGTCGTCGTCATCCTTCACTTCTTGCTCGCCTTCACTTTCAAGGTTTATTTCTTTGATTCAATGCACACCTAATTCTCCTAATTCTCCTTTGTTTTGTAAAAAAAAAACTCTAATTTATTTGTTTTTTCTCTTCAAAAAAGCTGGGCTTTTATTAACTTGGTTGTCTCCTCTCTCGCTCTCTCTACAGAAATAAATTTATTGCACACTCTGAAATTCTAAAAGTCTGAATCTTTTAAATTTTCCAAAAATATGGATTTTCAGGAGTTCTACTTCGATGCGATGCATCCGGCCAAATCGGTGGCTCCAGTCCCAGTTGCTCCGACTACACTGGCTCCATTGGATTCCACAACAGTCGCTATGATTCAAAATGCCACGTCATCGAATGGCACGGATCCAGAAGCGCCGAATATGATTGTTATGGAGGTTGGAGAGCGGGGACTCGGGAAGGAATGCATATTTTTAGAAGAAAATTTGAGAATATGCTAACAAAAAAGAGAGGATGAGTATGAAATCAAAAAAATCAGAAAAAATAAGTTTTTGGCCCTAAAAATATTTGATTTTCAGATGACCACCGTGGAACCGGAGCCATCAACGAAAAAAGTGGATGTAGTAAAGAAAGACGAGAAGAAGAGGGATTCGGCGGAAGTGGTACGGTTTAAATATCGATTTTCAAAACTCTAAAATATTATTTTTCAGACTAAAAAAGCTCCAGAAGTCGTCACAACAATCGGAAAAAAAGATGAGAAGGTGGATTTGAAGCCAGCCAACGCTACAGTAACCACCACGGAGAAACCAAAAGTGACTGAAGAAAAGAAGAAATCGGAAGAAGAGAAATCACCAGCTTCAAAAACGAAAGAATCAAAAAATTCTACTGAGAAATCTGCTGAAAAATCCAAATAAACACTTTTTTCTCCTAATTTTCTGACACATTTTTGACATGCTTTACCCCCCGACTATCCCCCATAACCAAATTAGCATAATTCCGATTCTGGAATTCTAAAATCTATGTCATTCTGATGCTTTTTGTTTTCTTTCCCTGTAAATTTTTCAATTGTGATACAATTCTCTGTGAAAACGTAAATGAATGGTTGTGAATTTTTCTAGCTCTTATTCAGAAAAAGAAATCAAAAAGGATTGCATCGACCGGGAATCGAACCCGGGCCGCCCGCGTGGCAGGCGAGCATTCTACCACTGAACCACCAATGCGATGAGAGAAACCTATAAGCAGACATATATAATGCGTTGCCGGTCAACAATGACGTAAGCGAGTGT